TTATGCTAAGGTGTATGAACCTGCTATCAATCCTATAACTGGGCCAGGCCTATGGGATAGAACAGGCTACATACCTCCACTTCCTCCAAATTTTGGAAAAAAAAGGGGAAGGCCAGCCAAATTAAGAAGAATGGGAGCAGGTGAGAGTAGCAGTGGAAAAAAAAGAATGAAAGGTGCACAAAAACTTCCAAGGCAAAAGTATAAGGTGTCCTGCAAGTTTTGCCATCAAATGGGACACAATCAAAGAACTTGTGAGTGGAAAAAGTTAGCTGAAAGTGGGATTGCAGATGGTGCCTTTGAGGAGACACAACATGAAGAGATGACTCAAGGTAATGATTTTCCATCACAAACTCAGGATGATGATAGCCAGCCCCAACCTCAAAGGAAACTAATTGTAAGTGTTTTACTTTCTGTGTTTTACTTTTTTGAATCAAGGATGATGATTTTTTATGTTTTACTTTTCTGAATGCATTTCTGATAGCATATAATGATTTAAACAGGCAAGGAAAAGCACTAGAGGAGCTACTATTTGAAGTCATCAAATCTAAGTCTCCTGCTGCAAATTGTGCACCTTTTGAAATGATAGTTAGTCCCCTGATTGTGAGTGAGATTTGCAAAGGGGTGTTTTGTGAACATGCTTATAATATGACTGTATCAGTAAGTTGTCTTGTTTTGGGAACTCTGAATTATGTTATGTGATGGGTTTTTAATGACTGAAGGTGGATCTCTCTTTGAAATGAAGTGTTTTGTGGATGAAAGTGTGTTTTTTCATGATGATTGGTGCTTAATTGAAAGTGGTTTGTAGTTCTGTGTTTTTACATGGAGGTTTCATGTTGTTTCATGCTTGAAGTTCTGGTGCTTAATTGAAAGTAGATTGCAGTTTTGGTGTTTAATTGAAAGTGGATCTCTTGTTTTATGTTTGCAATTGAAGTTCTGCATGTACATTGAGTTTCATGCTTGAAGTTTGTGTTCTAATTTATGTAATTCAGGTTCATGATGACTGTTTAAACAATTGAGGTTTTGTGTTCTATTTTAGTAGACAAGAATGAAATTGAAGTTATTTGCTGTGTTTTGTTTCATGCCAAATTGAGTCAGAATGTGTTTCATGGCAGATTAGCAACAAAGTGGTCTGATTTTCATCAAGATTAGCAACAATACATCATAACAACAATAGATAAGGTCCCCATTTGGATACTTGGATACATATTATGCTTATTTCATGATAAACATCCACACCATTGAGATTACAAGTAAAAACAGTAAAATTCTATTCTTCTTCTTCAGTTCTGCATTTTCTTCTTCCAGTTTCTTCACCTTTTTCAAGTACATCTCCTTCTCTTGAAGTTCAGTTGCAGATTCGACATTTTGGCGATTTGTTTCAGCTTCTAACCGGTTTATTTTACGCAACAAACCGGGGATTATTTCTTTTGCCCTTACACACATCGGAGGGTCAAACCAATTCCAAAAGGTACAACCATTTTGGCCACAATCCATGTACCTCCTTCCTGGGTTGGCAGGGGTCCATGCGGTTTGTAGACGAGCAACCTTACCGCAAAAACAAAGAACACCGGCTTCTCTTCTTGAAGAACTTGAAAAACTTGAAAAACTCATTTTTTTTCCTATGTTTCTGTTAATTTGAGTGGCAAATCTGATGAAGAGAATGAGGGATTTATGCTGTTCTGTGGCTTGTCATTTCTGGTGCAATTTCCCGCCATTTTCAGATGTCATTCTCCCTCCATTTTTTGCTGTTAACATTTCCGTCCAGTCTGTTAGTTTTGGGACTAAGTTTGGAACGAAAATAAGTTAAGGACTAAAAATGAGCATCTTGGGACTATTTTTGGAATCACTTAAATCTAACGGGACCAAATTTGCAATTTCCTCGAAAAAAGTCCTTTTGGTAAGATTTATATTTATTGAGCGCAGTGAAAACGTTTGAGCCTACGCATTATTTAAGTTGATTTTTTTTTCTTTTTTCTTTTTTTCGAATATATAAATTGAATCCTAACGGGCTCGATATGCGAAGTCGTGCACGGAAGTTGCCAACTTCAGGTCAAAAGCTTTGAGAGAATAGGTTTTCAAGAATAAATTGAATTCGAAAGCATAAATCGTAGAAGGCTTCATTGGCGACATGTAGGAAAAAACATAACTCAATTCCGAGTTCGGACGAACCCTAACGAGCCCGAATTTCACAATCCGATCTAAAAATAAAAAATAAAAAATTAAAAAACGGTTTTTGAAAATCCGTTAAAAAAAAAAAACGGATTTCTAAAATCCGTCCGTTTGATTCTTGTCTACAATAATTTTTTTTCTTTTATTTTTCGGCACAGATTTTTTTCTTTTTTAATTAAATAAGCTACCTTGATGAATAAGTTAGGTTTAGAGCTTTAGAAGTCTTATTTAAAGACTCATTCTTCTTTGTTATTTGGGCAGTTGACTATTAATAAAAATATGAAGTGATTGTGTGTTTTATCGAGAGAGTATCTCATTTACTTGTTTATCCTTGTACTCGTACGCTTATTTTAATACAAACTAGTACAGAGCTCGTGCAATGCACGGGGTGCACAATTTTAAGGTCATTTATCCATTCTTATAATTATATAAATGAATAAAAAAAATGTACGGGATATATATAGTACGTGACCTGTAATAGGCCAAAATGTGAATACGGGTGATGCACGGAGTGCACAATTTTAAGGTCATTTATTAGTGCATACCCCGTGCGATGCACGTGATACATATAATAAAAATCAATTATTTCTATAGGACTTGTACGTCTAGACAAAAAATTAATAGGCTTGGATCATCCATATTTCACATCTTTTAATAAGTGGCATTTATTTAAGTCAAAAAATTAACATGTTAATTAATATATAATTCCGCTCTAACATGTCATACTAATATTTATTTGATTTTAGAATACATATTTATTCATTGATATAGAAAAAAATAAAAATTTTATTAATTATTGTTCATCATATAATACTCAATTATTATTTTATTATAAAATTTACAGTCATATAATGTAATTATTATTATTTATAAAAGTTATATAAGTAGTCTTCTTTATGTAATGAAAATCAAAATAAAATTTTGAGTATAAATGTTTACAAAATACACACACATGTTTTTTAGAATTTTATTTTCTCATGATTATTCTTTTTTTTAAATGATTTAGCAATTGCCAAAAAATAAATTCCTTACATAATCAAGAGATTTTTCCTAATTTTCATCATAAGACTTTATAGTTTATTTAACATACTATGCAATAGAAAAATATTTTACAATAAGTTCAATTTTGAAACATAACAAAAAAAAAAAGTGATAAAAACACTATCATAGTTGACAATAATATACAAATAAATAACATGTTGAAATTTTAAAGAATAACTATAATTTTATTATCTAACCATCAATAAAATCATTTAATGATGTGATCATTATCTTTTAAATAATAAATAATATTAATATTTTAAAAAATTATTAGTGTTATATAATTAAATAAAGGTTAAAAAATATTACTCGACAAATATTAATTATAATGGATATCAGTAAAATCATTGATAAATTATTTAACCAAAAAAATCTTAAAGATCATATTTGGATAGTAAATGTAAATTGCAAGCATTTAATGCATATAGTAAAAATTTTCCAAATAAAGTATGCATTAAATATGTGTTAACTTTTCTTGTTACTGTTTTTGGTTAATAGGTTGGCTTTTAATATATATATAGATATAGATATAGATATAGATATAGATATAGATATAGATATACATTAAGTCAATCAACCTAACTCAGTGTCTCTTTCACATTTTAGAAACGGGCTCCTATCCCTTCCCCAAGTCATCTGCCGCCGTCCCCAAATCCTCCGCCCCTACAACCCTAGCCGCTGCTCCTCCGCCGTTGTTCCTCCGCACTCCACCCTAAATCACCTCAATCCAAACCATCCCGGCATCCCCCGAATCGTCCGCTCAGCAAAAAGTAAGTCACCTTTTTTTTTTCTTTTCAAATTCTGGGCCAAAAGTAAATTTTCTTTTGATGGAAAAATCATAATTTGGGGTTCTACACATTTGTGTTGTATTTAATTATGTTGTGTTTTTCTCTTCTTTTCTTTCTATTTTGTCTTGTCTTTTTCTTTTTCCAGATTGTTGTCATGATTCATGAACACTCAGGTGATGAGCTGATGCTGGTACTTAGACATTTTATGGCTTAATGAGGTGTCTGAACTCTGAAATTGTTTTAACTTCGATTCATGAACACTCAGATTGTTTTAACTTTGATTTGTATAAATTGTGTTTAACCTTTATTAATTGCGGATAACCGAACAGAACCGACCCGGGTTCGGTTCGGTTCTCCCTTCCCTTGCGGTGCGGTTCGGTTAACGAATTTAGGATTTTCGGTTTTCGGTTTTTTGCGCACCGATGTTCACCCCTAGTTGCTCGTTGCTGTAATTTCTAACAAATAATTGAGGCTGTCAAGCTAATACTTCTCTCAGCATTTGTACACTGTGCTTCTAATTTTTTTTTTTTTTTTTTTTTTTTTTTTTTTGGTTTGTTTAAGGTAGCAGAGCTTTGTTCTGATGGGCTGTTATTCAAGAATTTAATTGCAATTCCATGCATATTTTGACATTACACTACTTCGTTCTATCTACTCAATAATCAGCATATCATTTTTTTTTTTGGTTACTTTGTTGAAGAAAGATTGTTCCTAGTGTTCAAATTAATGGCCCTTTAGTTGAGCTGTGGATATATTGATAGATAAGAAGTCTGCGACTACATTATTTTGTTTAGAATGTACTAGAGAGTACTATTGAACTACCATTGGAAAGAAGAATATGAATATCTTTGAAATTTCTCTTTGCAGTATGAGTTTATGTATGAGAAGCCTGTTCATATTTTTTCGTTTGCTTTCGTTACAAATATTATCTAAGAAGTTTCTTGTTTAGGCACGCATAGCTAGGAAAAAAGCTGTTGGAATATGAAGTAAGAGGCATTTGTTAAGATGAGTTGTACCCATATCTCGGCTTTTCATTTCACTGGTTCACCTCCTGCTAAGGCTTTTCAGCGTAGTAAAACATCGATATGCCCGTCAACTTACCTGGGAACAAGGTTTCCCAAAATGCCCCTGAGAATTACATCTGCTACATCAAGGTACAAACGAGCCACAATTGTATCTTTGTTTGGCAGTAAAGGGAAGTCCGCAGAGTCGGATAATTCGAATGAGGTAATCGTCTTGGTGAACTTACTATTCTTTTTTTATGGTTTAATAACTCGAAAGTTATAATAGAATATTGATTTGTAATTGCCGGAACGTGACTCGATCGAGTTTCTTATTGTGTGCTGATTCTGAATGAGAATCTTGTTTGTTTAGAACTATATTACTGTACTGAAACTTACTGGTTGATGCCCTATTTTTCTTTTTTGTTTCCTCTTTATTTTACACTAATGTCATAAAATGCTAGTTAATTTTTTTTTTTCCTCTTTATTTTACACCAATGTGATAAAATGCGTTTTAATTTTCTTTTTCCTCTTTATTTTACACCAATGTGATCAAATGCTAGTTAACTATGTGTAAGAAGGATGGTTCAAATGTAATCATGGAGAATGTACTTCATGAAATGTTTCCTTGTTAATGTAGTGCTATATTCGATAAATGCGTAAATCTGTAGTTTAGCTTCTGTTGAAGAGAATGTGAACTGTGGCTGAGAGATCCCTGCTGTTTAATTCCATGGAACCTTATGTGCATGCTTCGATATAGATATTTCTGAAAAAATTTCAATCCCAACTCAAATCTACCTCAACTTTAACTCAAACTCAATATTATCAATATAATTAAATAATACCAATCAATCATTCTTAACAATTAATCGTCCATTCACATAATTTTAACTAGTCATCACTTTCAATCATCTCTTTTCTACTTTTACATCAAATCAGCATTAATTATTTTATTTTAAATATTATTTTGATGTAAACTCAAAATCCCACTCAAACCTAACCCAACCAACGTTTTCAAAATTAACCCTGGTTAACAAAAAAAAAAGAACAATCAAAACTCAATGTATCTAATATTTATATCCAAGTAAGCCCGTTTTGCTCGTTTCAATCCCAATGCTATGTGAACTGTATCTTACATAATTATGTAACCATTCGCTTTCTCTTCAACTCGTCTTGCAACTGTCAAGAAGTTAGAGCTTTGTAATTAATCATCAAGTTCCATTTATGAAATATACCAGGGTTCTCCATGGAAAGCTGTGGAAAAAGACATGGGAAATTTCAGAAAGAATCAGCCGATTGAGGAAGTTCTGAGGCAGCAAATCCAGGAACAAGATTACTATGATGATGGAGATAGTGGCGGCAATCGTCCAGGTGGCAGCGGCGGCAATCGTTCAGGTGGCGGTGGCAGCGGTGGAGGCTTTGGTGAAGGTGAAAACAGAGTTCGTAGGGGATTTTGGGATGAGCTTGGCCAAGAGATTATGGCCACTCTGGGAATCATAATCACAGTACTTTCTCCACTTATAAAACTCTTCTCATGAAAGTTCATTTTTTTTTTTCTCCATTTCATATGAAATGCATATGTCAACTGATGATGCCATTGTTTACATGAGTTTGTTTGATAGGCCGAATTACATAAAACATTAACATAAGGGAACAGAACTTCAATGATCTTTTACTTTATTTTGCTATCTCTAACTAGCGCTTTTCGATTATTCCACTACATTTATTTAGTACTTTCTCGACCTATAAAACTCTTCTCAAGTGTTATCTATTCATGTTCATCTCATGAAAGTTCTTTTTTCTTTTCTTTTTTTTTTTCATTTGGTATGAAATGCATATATCAACTGGTGCCATTGTTCACTTGAGTTTGTTTGATAGGGCAACTGAATTTTAATCTTTTACTGTATTTTCAATTTTTCCAGTATATATATATCCTTAGAGGTCAGGAGTTCACTGCTATAGTAAAAGACGTGTTCTCGTTTATCCTCCAACGGCGAAAGAGCACTCGTTTAAAGCGTGTCATTGATAAATGGAATAGCTTCTTGCAAACTATGAAAGATAAGCCAGAGTATGAAGACCCGTTTTGGTTACAGCGTGCAATACTTAGTACCACGACTGATTATGACTCTCCCGAGAAATGGGAACGGCTGATAGAGGAACTTGAGGATGAAGATGAAGGTGAGTCTGATGATGATGATGTTGTTGAGTGACGTTAATAATAGTTGTTTATGTCGATTCATTTTTTTTTTTTTGGTTCGACTTGATTGGACTCAGCGTAATGTGTTTGGTAGATGACGTTTTAGTAGTTTTGGAGAAGAAAGTGTGGTTAAAGTATTAGAAACAACAATGTATGTGCCATTTTGTGACTGCACAAACAACATTAGCCAAGTTGGTTATCTGATTTACATCTTCAGCATTTAGTGCATGATTGGATATGTTTTTATAAAAATAATAATAATAATAATAATAATAATAATAATAATAATAAATTTATCTCTCTATTTTTAATAATATCAGTATAATTAGATAATAGCAATTAAACAACAAATATTTTTTATGCTTCACGTCAACTTTAATTTACTCAACTGATTTTAACTAATCATTACTTTCAAGCATCTCTCAAATTAATTTTAGTTA